ATACACTCCCTTTGGGTATTTTGCATAGAATTGGATAGATTCTAGCGTAGAACGGGCTCTGCGAACTTTTCCTAGTCAAGATTTTGGAATCACTGAGAGCGACTTGATAGATTTTGACTGGAGTTTGACTGGTTCTTGTGCAGGTTATTCCCTAGTTGACCATTCGGGACTCATGTCAACTCTGAGACGTGCGCTGAGCAACAAAATCGACAAAAATAGTCGTTTCCTGGTCTGTCCCAGACTGCGGCTTATCAACGGTACTACGATCGGAAACGTTCGGACGCTCCGAATATTCAAGTTGGTGATAAGGTTTGGTTAGACGCTTCTGACATTAGAACGACTCGGCCCTCCGAGAAGTTCTCCCACAAGCGCCTCGGACCGTTCAAGGTGCTCACAGAAGTTAGCAAAGGTGCCTACAAGCTCGACCTCCCCCCGCGTTACTCCAAGCTCCACCCCGTCTTCCCTGTTGTTAAGCTCGAGCCCGCTCAGGACGACCCCTTCAATGGACAACCCGGCTACGACGAACCGCCCCCCGAGCTAGAGGACGGAGTCCCTGAATGGGAAGTCGAGGAAATCTTGGATGCCAGGATAAGGTATAAGCGTCTTAACTATTTCGTCAGGTGGAAAGACTACGATGCTTCACACGACTCGTGGGTTCGGTTCGACCGTGTCTGTGCGCTAGACAAGATTGCGGACTTCTATCGGAGGTACCTGGGTAAACCACGGCACATCGCCTCAGCGACCTTCGACTCCTTGCCCTTTCGAACTATGCATCGGGACGCCGCATTCAAAGGGGGGGGGTGATGTCAGGGGAACCCCCGCTTCGGCCTCCTTCGGACCCTCCGAACGCATCCGAGGCGCATCCGACCGGCGCCCCCTCGGACGCTCCGACCCACCCCGACCATCGTCCACGGCCTCCTTCGCCCGCACAATCACCAATCCGTCAAGACCCTCCCAACGATCACCTTGGGACAGAGCCTGCGACGCCGCTCAGGCCTTCTGCGCTCTACGTCGGCAGTTACAGATGACCAGTATATAGTTGGCGCCCTAGCAGGCGGACCCTTAGAGTTTCTTCTCTTTGGATCCTCCCCTGCTAGGTCGGTCCCTCCGTGTATTTCCGTAGCTTTTATTCACGCTTTGGATCCTCCCCTGCTAGGCTTTTGTTGGAGTCTTCAGGGTTGCCCTTACATCTGTGCCCAACAGCGGCAGCTACAGATAAGCAGTATATAGTCAGCTACCTAGCAGGCAGATCCTTAGAGTTTCTTCTCTTTAGATCCTCCCCTGCTATGACCTTGATCTCAGGCCTCTGGGGTTGTCCTTACAAACTGGTCCTGTGTTTCTATCATAATCAGATCCTGCTTTGATAACCATTTTTTGGCAGGAACCTATTCATTATCATTATCATTCTATAATATCCTAATGGTTAAATCATCTATATATGTCTAATTCTTAGTCAGATTGAGATTTGATACAAAAGAAAAAAGACCACCACAAAAGCTAGACTATGATAGAAGACATAGGTGAAGTCTAATAAATGACCTCAATTTCCAATCAATTAAGGGCACCATGTAATCAGGAGTTTACCAGATTTGTTGATTTTCAGTTATGTGTACTTAAATTTGACAAAATTCTACTATGATTCTATATTATCTATCCTATCCAAAATACTCGAAATATAAATAGTACAACTCCTGGGAGGATAATACCCAAGCTAAACAATAGCACTGGTAAGAATATTTGGTAATTTGGTTGCCTTGCTATATTAACTTTCAATTCTGATGGAGATAAATGCTTAGTCTTGGGCTTTGAAGCTTGCACTAGAGATTCTGAGGGCAATTCCATCGAGTTTTCTCTCATCCTTGCCAATAGTGAATTGAGTTGATTTACCATTTGAAGTGTTCTTCTGACCGATGAGTCTGCAGGGGCCCCAAAGCTAAGCAAAGCCTGGACAAGTTCAATATTCTGTAGAGACAAAGCTAATTGAAGTGCTGATTTATGGTTTTCTGTAGTGAGATGCATATCAGCCCCTTTGGTAAGTAGAAGGCAAGCAGTTTCTGTATTCCCCCTAATAATTGCTGAATGTAGTGCTGTTCCATAGTTACCAGCAACTAAATTCACTTCAGCACCTGCTTCAATAAGCATTTCTACTGCTTTATTATGGTTGCCAAGTGCTGCAGTATGGAGTGCAGTACCATACTCTCCAACAGCCAAATTTACATGTGCACCAGCATTAAGAAGAAGTTGTATAACTTTAGTATCTCCTTTCCATGATGCAGTTTGGAGTGCTGTCCCAAACTGACCTGCTACCAAGTCTACTTGTGCATGAGACTTAAGGAGAAACTGAATCATTTCAACCTTTCCTGATAGAACAGCAGCTTGTAGAGCAGTTCCAAATTGTCCTGCAATCAGATTTATGTTGGCCCCTGCATCTAACAGAACCTGTGCCATCTCTATTCTTCCAGTAAATGCAGCAGCCTGGAGAGCAGCCCCACAGTCTCCTGAAGTTAAATCTAATTGGGCTCCATGCTTGATTAGATATTCAACTGTTTGAGTTCTGCCATTAAATGCTGCAACCTGTAAAGCAGTTCCATGTTTCCCAGCAACCAAATCTATACTAGCACCAGCTTGCAGAAGAATTTGAACAGCTTCTGTCTTGCCCTCTGATGCTGCAGCTTGGAGAGCTGTACTATTTTGGCCAGCAATTAAGTCTACTTGAGCACCCGCATTTAGCAATAGCTGAATGACTTCCAGATGCCCCCAAGAAGATGCAGCTTGAAGAGCTGTTCCATTTCTTCCAGATTTCAAATTGATGTCAGCCTTAAAAAGAATCAAAGTTTGAACAATTTGATTATGCCCCCAATATGATGCAGCCTGTAGAGCTGTTCCATGTTCACCCCCAATACAATCTACCTGAGCACCAGATTTTAGGAGAAGCTCTACTACCTCAATATGTTCCCAGCAACATGCAGTCTGAAGTGCAGTTCCATAGAAACCAGCTGATAAATCTAGCTGAGCACCAGAGCTAACAAGTAGTTGAGTTGTAGCTACTCTGCCCATTAATGCAGCTGCTTGCAGAGCTGTTTGATACTCTGGGGTAGTTGAATGCATACGGCCTCCAAGTTGTCGTAAAAGAAGGATTATTGCATCATGCTGTCTAGCCACTGGTAGAGGGTTTGCAACTAGACTTGCTATTAAATCAATCTGAGCACCTGATGCTAGCAGTAGCTGTATTGTGTCTATATGTCCCTGAAATGAGGCTGCCTGGAGTGGTGTTTTATAATAGCCAGCAACTAGATTTATATGAGCACCAGATTGGATAAGAAACTTCACAGTTTCTAGCTGACCCTGATAGGCTGCTGCCTGAATTGCTGTTCCATAAGTGCCTGAGACCAGATTAATATTCATCCCTAATTCAAGTAGAAAGTGGATGATATTATACTGTCCTGACAAAGCTGCAGCATGTAATGCAGTTCCATAATGAGCATCTGCAGTTCCAGTCTTATAATTTTCCTTGAGAAGCTTCTCAATAATTGTTTTATGACCATACAGGGCTGCATAAGCCAGTGCTGGGCTTTCCCTAGATACCTCATCCACTAATATATAATCTACTAAGTATTCTAGATTTCCAGCAGCTGCAACACAGATAGGTGATATATCTAAGCCTTTTCGTTGGAAACTAGGCCATGGGGAAGCAGACCAGGATTTAATAATCTCCTGTGTAAGATGATATTGAAGACATTGAAGTAGAGAAGGGCCAAGAATAACTTGTGCCTTTCCTCTAGAATGAGCTAAGAAATGTTGACAGTAGTTTAGAAGAGGATAATTTGAAGCTTGGTCATCCTTGTTATTGATCATAGAATGGATATCTGCACTATCATCAGATGTGATAATGCTACTTGGCACCAAACTTAGATAGGCTAGCAAAGTCCTAGTTATCTCCACTTCAATGCTTTCAAAAGATGGATATACCATCTTATTTAAGTAGACTTGGGCAGTGTAGTGCACTAGCTGTATAACATCAGTCTCTTCATTTTTGATAATGAGTCCACAGCACATCTCAACAATAGTATCAACAGGAATAATTGTAAGATGACTAGGCAGCTGTGTGATATCCTTTGAGAGTGCTAGAGCGGCCTGCAACTCAACAGCTTCAAGTGGTCTCTTTGCAGCTGCCACCCAGGCCAGTGCCAAGAGTGCCAAGTTACTCACTTCTTCTGGCTGTAATGTGATACGATCAATTGTCTGCTTATAACTTGTCTCCAAAGTCTTTGGTACACTTCTAAGCATCTGCTGTAGAATTTCTAATGTTGATGCTGAGACAAGGTGCTCAATCTGCAGCTTAGCCATTAAAAACCTTAATTCACAATCAGTTTCAAATAATAATATTATAAATTTTTGAACACTAACATCCCATTTGCATTGGAGATTAGTCTTGCTATGATCTGTTGTTTTAGAGACAAATCTGACTGGATCAGCCTGTAAAGACGCGGGATGGTTAATGATCTGGGAAAGTATATACTGCTTCATATCATCTTCTGCAGCTTTAATTTCCAGAGTAGAACAATCAATGGTAGGGGTCACATGTGGTCTGCTTGTGATCATTATGCTAACCCAGTTGCCTAGCTGTAGATTCTCTAAAAGGGAAGTATGATACTCTGTAGAATATTCATCAAAACCATCTACAATGATATAAATTTTCTTGAACACAGAAGCCAGGGATTTCACAAGGTCTTGGATCTCCTTGAATGTGGGCCTAGTATCTTGCTCATAATGATGATTGTATAAACTCCTTGCTTGTTGGATATCTTTCTTTGATTGGAGCAGTTGCCTCCAGAGAGCACTGAGCAGATTCTTGACTGTTTGAATCTCAGATTCTTTATAATTCAGATAGATATAACCAATTCCAATTGTGTAGTCTCCAGCATTTGTCTCAAGTAAATGCTCTGCTACTTTGGATCTATGTGTAATTCAGATCAGTTCAAGAAATAAAATAATTTAGGTTACGCAAGAACAGACTTGCCCACACCAGCTAAGTATTTTGGATGAGTCATGACTTACTTAAAGGATGACTGGAAAGTAGGGACTTACGGCCACCAACACACCACAGTGTTTGTCCATGTCCCAATTTCCAGCTGAGGAAATCTGAGTGTTGCAGAAACCATTCCCCAGTGCCCTCATGACAGGAGTCATATATCTGCTGGTGACGCGGTGCATAGTTGATCGGTGAGATCCAGTTAATGATTTTTTTGCGCTCCATCTCTGAGAGAAAGAAGTAATATATATATATATTGGATTCATATTGGAATGTTTTGAGCTCACCCTCTGTTTCGCCTCCTGTGTAGATTCTGTTCTTATCAGAGCTTGCTATTGTGTTTGCACAATACATAAGTACCTGGCCTGCTCCGAATTCACATAGACGCGAGCGCCTTCGCCGGCACCCCCACTCCCACCCTGGCGGCCGCCTGCACCACCTGCACCACCCGTTCCGCCTGGATAGGAATCATAAGGCAATGCACTGAACGATCTTCGGCACTAACCCTTCACTGTCATCTGAATCAACTCTGCCTCCATTGTTGCTGCGAATGCTAGGTTGTGCGTCGAGTGCGGAAGCAAGGAGCAGCCTTGCGGCCCCCCGCACGCGGCCTTCAAGTTTGATCTCCGGATTGACAGCGGGAAGGCAGCAGGAATGAAAGCGTTTGATTCGACGACTCGGATACTAGTACTTGGGCAAAGGCGGGGGCTCCTTGAAGACCAGACGGACTGGAGAGAAATCTGGGATCCACATTTCATGACATTCACAAACAAAAATAAGCACACCTGAGTCACGGCGGTCTTTAGCGCTCAAGAACTTGAAAACCCGCGCTTAGATAACAAGGGGACAATTGGCCACATCGGTACTACAGCACAGAGTTCGGTCCCTCATCTTCTGCTAGTGACTTCGCATACGCTGTCGTGGCAGAGGTCTCGGTGGCCCACTGGCAGGCAAACCGGAGGCCGCTTAGCGATAACGGTATACTCTGTACTCCGGCGGGCTCCGGAATGCAACGCGATCACACTGCGGCCGTCCGCCGCCCACAGCCTGCGTTGGAAATTGACGACCACCATGATCAGGGTTAGGTAAAGCCCAGCCTGAGACAGGTGGTCGCCGAGCGGGCGAAGACTGCGCATAGGTAGAACGCAGGGCTCGTGTGCGGAATCGGGAAGAAGAGGACGAGCGGGGCGAGCTAGGAGTAATATGAATCATGATATGGCAAAGGAGTCAGCTGCCAGGGGTCAATCCCTGATTCAACGAGCAACGACAGCAGCCTGCTAGCAGAGTAATATTGTCAATTGAGGCTTGCGAGAGACATTCAATGTTCGTAGGCTTTACCTGAAGATACGCAGGTAAGTAATACTATATGAGCACCTGAAGTTTTAAAACAACCAGCGGGTGCTTGCCGAGCCTTCCTGGCGATCAAGACTGTGCAAGATATATTTGTGGCCAGCGAGAATGCCCAGGAGATGAGTTCGGACTCGTACTGCGAGCAGATTGCACCGCCTGTGGCAACGGTCGGGAATGAGATGCGGGCCCCATGGTGAGGCAACCAGGCAGAATATATCTAGAATCACGAATACTTGAATGGCTCGTCAGAAGACATGAAATATGATAGACATAGCACTGTACCAAATGAGACGAGCAACAGTAGTAAAGGAAGAAGGACGACCCAGCGGGTAGACTCGCGATGCGGGACCCAAACGCGCAATATTACAACGCTGTCACCTATGACCATCTTCGTACCGCAAACGTTATTTCCCGCTTTCGCCATGACGCATCCACATTAAACATGAGCAATGCCTCCATCGGCGGCCACAGTACCGTACTGTGGACTTTGGCCGTTGAAGCGCCATTGAATGCGGTCCATAATGGACGTTGTTGAGCGGTCCATGAAAACGAGGCTAGCTTGACGGTACCAGTTCACGACGTCCATCGTCCAGAGCGCATAGACGTATGCGACGACAAGAACTTTCAAGAAGTAGGATGTGCGAGGTGCGGCCTCTAATGTAATGCCCGTTCAAGTTTCGACTCGGACTGGAAGAAAGGTCAGACAGTGAGCCCGCACAGAAGATACGGAAGCCTCACGAGATTGAGTATGTAAATCGTCAGAGAAAATAAACGCTATACAGGGCTGCGCTGTTGTCAGAATATTGGGCTGCGAGTGCACTTGAGAAATGAATCAATCTTTCGAAGAATGAGTTCATGGACGCAGGGAACTGGAGTGACCTTGTGAGCAGCTCGAGCTCATCGTAGTTGCTGAGGCAAGGCTTGATACGGGCATCGGACGGGCAACTATTCCTGAAGAAGCCTTGACTTCATGTGGAGAAAGGCGGGGGAACCGTGACTGTCAGATGAGTGACTGACCCCGGACTTCAAGTTGCCCCAGACCGTCCGAGCCTGAGTGAATTTTATCAGTGTGTTCCATCTGAGTCCATGCTGCCCACCAGCCGTCGCAATCCAAATAAAGGTGCGGACCGACGATTCTGGCGCTTCGGAGTACACCACAGCATCAGGCGAATGGGTCGACGGTACACCTATGACGAAGAGGTGCCTTGTTCAAATGATTCCAGTGGCATCTCAGCCGCATCTGATTCAGAGGAGCGTAAGTATCGGGAGAATGCTGTCATTTGCGCCACACCAGATCGCTTTCGAAGTCGAGGGCTTTCAGGCTTGCTGCCAGTGCTATTATAGTACACCTCCGAGTTGCGAATAGACGAAAGTTGTGGCAGAAATTGAAGCCAAGACGTGATGTGACGCTTAGTCACCCTCTTCTCCGACTCTCCTCTTTGAAGAGTATTTTTTCAACGGCCATCCACTGATCCAGGTACACACTGTAACACAGGTTCACATGGCGCGTCGTGCGAATCGAGTCTAGCCACTTGCCCTGAGGGAAGGATGTCCGCACCGACAGCGAAGAGAAGAGAAGAACCGCCAAGTGGTAGATATCTTGCTTTGCTGGCATCTTGCATCGGACCGAGTCGAGGCAAGGTGAGTGGAGTCTTCGACTTCGACTTCGCAGAATCCCAGAAACTTGTAGGCTCACGACAAGCAACAAACACAGGCCGAGTTGGATCGATACCCATGAGCCAGAAACGACGCATTCTAAAATCGACGACAACCGGAAAACAGACATCCAGACTTGAATTCAGCCACGTACGGCGAGCGTCGCATGACCCGCGCTATCATGAGGATATTTACGCCCCACCGCGATACGCATGTGGGATCAACAAAAGAAGCGTCTTGTCGAGGATGCATTGATCTCTAAGCGACGGTATATATATACCTGCGCTGGGCTGGCGCCGCCCTTCTCTCCACCCGCCAGCCATGCAAGTCCGGCTCTCCCTCCTTCTCGCGCTTTTCCCATCGGCGCTCGCCCTCTGGCCCCAGCCCACATCTATCAACACGGGCAAAACTGCACTGAAGCTCGCACACGGTTTCGACATCAAGCTTTCGGTCCCCAACGCCCCTTCCGACCTGAAAGACGCGGTTTCCCGGGCGAAAGGCTTCCTGAAAACAGATGCTCTTGCAGCACTTGTCATTGACCGTGGTGCCTCCGCGGCCGGTGCTCTCAAGTCAGCCAAGTCCCTCCCATCGTTGACGGTCGAGTTCGCTGCAAAGAATGGCAAGGTCAAGAGTATTTCCGAGGAAGCCATTGCGCCCATTGGGACGCGCGACGAGGGGTACACGCTCAGCGTGCCTGCAGACGGCTCTCCTGCTGTCTTGAAGGCGAATTCCACATTAGGGCTCTTCCGAGGACTGCAGACTTTCGGACAGATCTGGTTTGACTTCTCGGGTACTACGTATACTCTCGAGGCCCCCATTCAAATTTCCGACAAGCCTGCTTACGTACGTCGCCGTAATCTACTCTTTCGCTCACGATATGCTAAAAATCCCGATAGCCTTACCGTGGTTTCATGCTCGACACTGCCCGGAACTTCTACCCCGTTGCGGACATTAAGCGCACTCTCGACGCAATGAGCTGGGTGAAGGTGCGTCATACATTTTCTGTCTTGGACATGAAGTTTAAGCCACATAGATCAACACCCTTCACTGGCATGTTGTCGACAGCCAAAGCTTCCCTCTTCAGATCCCTGGTTTCGAAAAGCTCTCCAAGAACGGTGCATATAACCCGTCCGCTGTCTATACCCCCAAAGATGTGAAGGATATCGTGTCTTATGCTGCTGCGGTGAGTCTTGGACGTCGGACTAAATTCTTCCGTTAACTTGGGATTGCAGCGCGGAATCGATGTTATTCCAGAAATCGACACCCCCGGACACACCTCAGTGATCTCCAAGTCGTTCCCCGAGCACATCGCCTGTGCTGAAGCCAAGCCGTGGGCATCTTTCGCGAACGAGCCGCCCGCGGGCCAGCTCCGCCTTGCCAGCGCTGCCACGACCAAGTTCACCGCCTCTCTCCTCAAAGCTGCTGCGGGTTTATTCCCGGGACAGTTCTTCTCAACTGGTGGGGACGAGATTAACGCAAAGTAAGGCCGGCGAAAATAAGCATCGAATGTAGCTGACGAAGAGATGTAGCTGCTACACGCAAGACAAGCAGACCCAGTCGGACTTGAGCGCCAGCGGGAAGACATTCGCACAGGCTCTCGATTCGTTCACGCAGGCGAGCCATGCTGCTCTGCGGTCCGCCGGGAAGAGCGCTGTTGTTTGGGAGGGTGAGTCTATCTTAGCTCCGCTACATGGTATCTTTTCGCCCAGTGCTTACTCCGCTTCACACAGAAATGGTACTTGACAACCCCGTCACCCTGGCCAACGACACCGTCGTCATGGTTTGGATCTCCTCTGAGCACGTCCAGGCGGTTGCGCAATCAGGGCATCGCTTGGTCCATGCCGCATCGGACTACTTCTACCTTGACTGTGGACATGGCGGGTGGGTCGGGGCCTTCCCGACAGGCAACAGCTGGTGCGACCCGTTCAAGACATGGCAGCACGTACGTTTTTTCCTCTTTCAGTATATCCTCAGATTTCTGATGCATCACTAAAGGCTTATGTCTTCGATCCTGTCGCGAACCTGACGGCCGCCCAGGCCTCGCTCGTCCTCGGCGGGCAGTCGTTGCTGTGGTCCGAGCAGTCCTCGCCCGCGAACCTCGACGCGACAGTGTGGCCGCGCGCCGCCTCTACCGCTGAGTTGTTCTGGTCGGGCCCCGGCGGAGATGTCCAAAAGGCGCTGAGCAGGCTGCACGAGGTTGTGTATCGCTTCAGGCAGCGCGGCGTTGCGGCCAACTCGCTCCAGCCGGAGTGGTGTGTGCTCAGGCCGGGAGACTGTGATTTGACTGCTTAGCGTCCGTTTTCTGTGAGTTTATACAAAAATAAAAGCCAGCCAAGTTCATTGCATACATTCGATCATCATTCTTCCTGTTCTCGTCGTACCTCGCGGCCACCTCATGAACCCCGGGCCATGAAAGGAAGGCGTGGATGAAACGTGGTTTGTCCTCCTTGTCGCTCCTCCATACCCACTTCCAGCGACGATGAGCAGCATTGCGAGAATCATGCATTTATACGGTTGGATCTTGGGGGCAGCCAAACGGCCACATATAACTAACCTTTTCTAGGTGGCACTGGCGGTGCAGGTGGCAATGGACAGCAGGGCGGGAGCGGCGGTACGGGCCAGGGACCTCAGGTCTATGTGACCGGCGACTATACCAGGTATGCGCTCCTCTCCTTAGTGGCCTCCATCGCTTATTTTTCGTAGAATATATAGCACCGGGACACCGGAGACAGAAGGTAATTCGCGCGATATAACCATGCAGCGGCTCGTCGCTCACAATGAGTAGAGCAGGAACGCCTGGCCATTCTGCGTTGGGTTTCGCCAATCAATTTTGCCGCTCGCCAGCAGCATATACGCGAAACATGCCACCAGAATACGGGCGAATGGTTGCTAAATCACCCCAGTTTCATTCAATGGAAAGCAGGGTTCGGAGAGCGACTCTGGTGTTATGGAATCCGTATGTATCGCTGTTAACAAGCGCATCTATCTGATGCTAAAGATATACAGCTGGTGTAGGAAAGACTGTGCTTGTGTACCTGTTTGTGTTTGCTTTATTGGATCTTTCTGACTCTTGTCAGGGCTAAGGTCGTTGAACACTTGATCCAGGTTCACCAGAATGACAAGAGAGTTGGCATTGCCTTTGCCTATATCAACTACAAGGAAGCTGAAATACAAACAGTCAAAAATCTACTAGGGGCACTATGGCGACTATTAATTGAGAATGACTCTGATATGACAAGCGCAAAGAAACTCTACAAACTGCACAAAAACCAGGGAACCAATTGCACTCTGCAGGAGGTTTATCACCTGCTTGTGTCTACTGTCGCCAAGTTCAAAACTGTCTATATTGTGATTGATGCCCTGGATGAATATCTAGCTGATGAGCAAGCCACACTTGTCAAAAATATCTTGGCTCTGGGTGAAAATGTGAGTCTGCTGATCACCAGCAGACCACATGTCATTCCTTTCACTGGCCCATCTATCATCCGACTTGAAATCCAAGCCTCTAGAGCAGATTTGAGAGACTATATCCTTTCTCAAATGGAAAACCACAAAAACCTTTCAATATTTGCTCGGGAGGATATATATCTAGCAGAGGAGATCATAGATAAGACCATCACCAGAGCAGATGGCATGTAAGTTGGATTGTAAAACCTGAAAGTTCAAGTCTTAGCTAACAAATCACTTAGGTTCTTAATGGCTAAACTTCAGATAGAGCAACTTGCTTTAGCATCCAACTACAATACCCTGCATGATATGCTGCAAAGAGTACCTGAAACACTCAACAACACTTATCAACAGACAATTGATCACATAAAGGCACAGCCACCTGATATCAGCCATCTGGCACTTCTGGCACTTGGTTGGACAGCTTATGCAAAGCGTCCTGTAACAACCTTTGAGCTTCAGGTGGCTCTAGCAACTTCACAGAATAGCACAGTTCTGCCAGATAATGAAGCTCTGGTTCCTATTGACATTATTATTGAAACATGTTATGGATTAATAGTTAGGGATCAACAGACAGATATCATTCGACTTGTACACTATACAGCACAGATTTTCCTAGATGATATTCAACAACAAGAGTTTCCTGATATACACATCAAGATCACAGAGACCTTACTAGCCTACTTGAAAGTTACTAGAGAGTCCTATGAGACATATCAGAAATCTCAGTGGTGGTTTCATACCTTTCATGATAAATTTCCCTTCCTGCGCTACTGTCAATACTTTCTATCACATGCTCAAGGGTATCCTGAACAAAGGCTCACATCTCAGCTTATAGAAAGCCTACAGGATCTGACCGCTCAGAAATTTGACTACTCCACTGAGTATGGCTGGTATATCAGCTCCTGGGGACTTCTATCACAGCCCAATACAACAGTCCTGAGTATTGCAGTAGCTGGAAACATGTTAAACCTAACCCAACATATCTTGCAGCATCAGATATATCAATACAAGTCTGAACTGACTTTGGCTGTGCTTTGTAAACAAGACAAAATGGTTGAGCATCTGCTTAAATTTAAATCCCCAGATACAATTCATCAGCAGTATGCACCATTCTTCAAAGGCAGCTGTCAAGATTATTCTGTCACAGCACTTCAGGCTGCTGCTCACATAGGGAATCTACAGTTAGTTCAACTATTGAGAGACTCAGGAGCTGCCATCAATATGACTACAGGTATCTATGGAACAGCCCTACAAGCAGCATCATTGGCTGGGCATCATGAAATTGTGAAGGCTCTTTTGAGCTATGGTGCTGAGGTAGATCTGGTTGCTGGCAAACATGGAACAGCACTGCAAGCAGCCTCTTTCAAGGGATATGAGTCTATTATGAAAACACTCCTTATGGCTGGTGCCAAGGTAAATCAGGTTGGAGGAAAGTATGGAACAGCTATCCATGCTGCCTTGATAGGAGGTAGAAAGGAAACAATTCAGCTTCTTCTGAACTATGGAGCCAAGACCAATATAATTGCCGGCAGATATGGAACAACACTCCAAGCTGTTTCCTTACGCAGGGAGATACAATTTATTCATCTTCTTTTTGGAGCAGATTATAAAGGAAATATTAATGCCATTTCTGGGAAATATGGTACAGCACTGCAAGCTGCTGCCTCAAAGGGACATACTGAAACAGTTGAATTACTTCTTCAACTAGGTGCTGATGTTCATTCAGTTGCTGGGATATATGGGACTGCCCTCCATGCTGCATCATTAGCAGGAAAAAACAGCACTGTGCAATTTCTACTTGATGCTGGAGCAGAAGTAAATTTGGTGGCTGGAAAGTATGGTACAGCACTTCAAGCGGCTGCCCTAAAAGGCAATAGTGAGACTGTCCACCTGCTAATCAGCTCTGGTGCTCAAGTTGATATATCTGCTGGAAAATATGGCACAGCTCTGCAAGCTGCAGCATTCAAAGGCAGCATTGAAACAGTTGAACTTCTCATTTCTTTTGGTGCCAAAGTGAATCAGATTAGTGGAAAATTTGGAACTGCTCTCCAAGCAGCTCTTCTCCAGCATGGTGATAATCATCCAGTTGTGCGAGAAGTGATTATAGCAGGAGGCAAGCAAAAAGGGCAACTGTTACCTAAAATATGGAATTATATCACATTCAGACTCACTTTTCAAAGAAATTTATGGAGTGTTTCAAATTCTTCATGTTCAACTATTGGTTCTTGGTGATCAGGTTAATAGATTTTAAATACTCTTCCAGTACAGTAGTATGATACTGCAACTATACATTTAAATCTTGTATTCAAGTAATATAGTATATACTGTCATTTGTAGAAAGGTTGGCACCCTTAGGTTAAGAGATAGTTTCAAACTGCTTATCTGTATAAGTAATGAGTTCAGTTCTCTCTTGTTTCCCATCATATAGGTACAGTTTAAGCATACTGTAGCATTCTGTAGAGGTGAAAACACACTTATTACCTTGCTCTGGAAGGTTCCCTATAGTCTTCATTCCCACATCATTTTATATCAATTCCCACCTGTTTAGCCCCAAACCTACTATATATTATCAGTGGAAACCCACATGCTTGCCACTGATAAGCCCTAGCACTATCCGAAATTTGCTGAGAGGAGAGTAATTGGTAGTGAGTGGGGTGAATAATTCCCTGCGCAGCATCACAGACCCTGTCCCAAGGCGACTGTCAGGCTGGTGATAGTGTGGGCAAGGAAGGCTCCATACATGTCATATAGTATGATTGCAAGAACTTGGTCTAAATGGCCTGTCCTGTATTATTCACCTTTATTCACTCTGTGACATACATGCAAATGAGTGTACCAGCTACTAGTATATATAGTCCAAGTGCATATGATTAGCATAGTGGTCTTTTGGCCCAGTTGGCTTCTGTGTTAGCACTTGTGCACAGAGTTTACACCCACTCCTCCTATATACTAGACTTAGGATGATTGTTGCCTTGGAATTTACCTTTATTCATCACTAGGGATGTTATGATAATACTAAGCCTTGTAGGGTACTGTAAGTTGATCTGGTTTACAAACCAGTTAGAAACATGTTTTTAAAAACAGTGTTAGTTTTTAATTCCTGGGGGTGGGATGTGTTTATAAACAGCCAGGTGTGACATGATATTACATCAGTCACACAATCAACACTACCAAATATGGTAATTTTCTGCTGAATACCTAGTTGCTAATGTAGAAAATGCTGTTGCTATCAAGGATAGTTTAGTGATAGGTTAGTAGCAGGTCATAGAAGCAGTAGTACTGGATAATCATAGAGACACTGAGGTATATTAAGTAATCCCCCCTTGTTTTTTGTCCATGGCACCCTGGTGTGATATCACTGATAATTCACAGTATTGGGTAGGCTAAACAGGTGATTGATCTAGGTTCCAAAAGATATGCATCATATGTCCTTATGTATATAGAAATTTCTTCATGTTGATTTTGGCTAGTGAGACTTCATATGTAAGCTAATTTGCTGGTCCAATATTGATCAAATTGGTGACAGACATGATGGTAAGCATATCTAATATAAAATATCATTATAGGCACTCTTTCCTCTGTCTACACTGTTGTGATTCAGTCTGTTCACATAGACTTAGGCACAATGCTATTAGGCTATTTGTTTACAATTCACTAAGGCTGTAAGCTCTAGTAGTCCTACTTATATACTATCAGTGTACCTACTAAAATATTCTACAACATTCCTCTGCTTACTGAGCATGACTGATCAGCCCTGTGTAAGGGCAACCCTGGTGGCCCGGAATCAGAGTCCTGGCAGGGGAGGATCCAAAGAGTGAATAAGAGTAGGCTAATACAAACAA